AGGCGGTGGTGTAGCCTGGAGATCAGGCATTCGCCTACCACGCCGACTCTCGGGTTCGATTCCCACAACGCTACATGGAATGAAGGCATTTCATTCGTGGTTGAATAATTCCGGGTGAAATGAATCACTTTGTTAGGGACGTGTGAAGGTAGTTTCAGATCTTACGAGCCAGGAACCAGTTTAACTCACTGTTAAGCTTCGTTTAGTTGAATACTTGTCTTGCCCTCACATGTGTTTGTGACCGATGCCACCGATGGGACAGAGTACATCACTCTTTCTATAACACCCTGTATCACCACATATGATAGTGATTGTTTGCTTATATTTAGGGATCCAGCCCTAAAAGCATAATTCATTAAGGACATCGTTCCCTTCAGTGACTGAGTGTATAATATTGCATGCATCGAGTTCAAGTCAGAATAAAGTGCATGAAACCTCCCTGCATCTTAAGGGAAACCTCGTTGATTACTGAATGCTAAATTTGATATTTGTTTTCAGGAAGTTTAACATGTGGTTGACGTCGTTGCTGCTCATAGTTGAAATGAATTGGATGAAGCAAGCTATCGGGGAGCTCCTAAAGGGAGGCCGACCTGGTGCTGATTCTCTGCCTTCACGTTGTTATTGCTACCATGTGTAAAACTTTAACATTGCCACTCGGCAATACGGGCTGTGAACCGCAAAATTGGGATAAACTGCCGTGCAAAAGAAAGATTACCCTTAACAATTGCATTTGACAAAATATTTTAAAAAGCTGTCAACACTGTATAATCAGTAGGCTGAAATCTGTTGCCAAAACACTGCTAACATAAGACCAAGAACACGCTAGCATAGCCCTATCAAATACACCACCGTCGAAACACACTTTCTTGTGTGCATCCTATGTATTCTTTTGTCCGGCAGTTTACGTCACAGTTTGAACCAGCATGCCAAGAAACTATCATTTAAAGGATGTAAATCAAATTTGCTAGGGCTGCCATTTAAACGAGCTGAGTGCCCCTTTAATGATGAACACACAGATTCCTTAACACAAGAACTGGTGTTCCTATGTACTTTGACTTGATGTTCTCACCATCACCAACGGTACATCCGTCAAATTACAACTGTCAACATGACTTGCATGACTAACGACACCATCTCCCATGGTGTACAACGTCCTGCTTGAGTGGTTTAATGAGAATGGTCACCCCTTGGACACTCCGGACCTACCCTGACCGTGTACCGAGACGGGGTAGCTAGCTTAGAGTCAATCGTAAATTACGTGTCAAGATAGAATTTGTGTCGCTAAATTATTTCCGATTTCCTTGCGGGACAACAATGGCAGAGTACTGATCTGGGATTTGTAGTCTTAAGGAGAAAACATGGTAGCATTATGAAGGTCGTGTCAAGGTTCGCGACCTGTGAGCAAGGACAAGGGTTTCCTGATGTCTTTCCCGCCTTCTCTTTGAGACGTACAATAACAGCAGACGGCCATTCAGGGTTGTCGTATGGCGGAATGACACCGACTGATTGACAATCGTCACTGAGGAAATCTGCTATTTGCTGTTTCTTGCTGCTCTACATTCTCAAGCCGAAGCTATTCACACCGACCCTGTCAGGATTTAATTGAATAAAAGATGGGGAAACATGGCTGTCATTGAGAATTAGCCATCTTTCTTTCTCGAAAGCTTTTCTTTGCTGAATCTCACCTCTAATTGGCAAAGGACAAATTCTAAAAGTTCAGTAAATGAAACTCCCGATTAGAATCTTCTCATGGTGTTTAAAACCTTGCCATTAATTGCTTAGTCTCCAGCGGGTTGTATCGGTGTAAGGGTGCACTGGGATATGCTAATTTGTATCACATTCATTCTGACAAGCAGCATCTGGACAAACATCTGTAGTATTCGGTTGACATCTAGACTTGTATTGTGTATCTTTTGCAACAAGTGATTCGGTTAAAAATGTATTTATGGTCACCATGTAATACACGTTGACAGGATATTAACATAAAGATAAATGTCATTGGATTACTAGTCCTTGTGGCAGCATCATATACCATGAATATCACAGAGGACGCAATGAGTGAAGCATAGAATATGCATCTAATGTTAGTTGCATCGAATGTACTATGATAGTAATGGTCATGAAAGTAGCATAGAATATATTGGTAGTCGGAATGGTAGTAAATTAGGATGAAAACATATGGTGGTACCATAGAATGTTAATGCATATGGTAGTGTTTATGGCGTAGGCTTTACGTGTATTGGAAATAGCATAGAATATATCTTTGATAATAGTTATCACTTACCTCAGATTATATAATTACGTAAAGGTATAGGCATTTAATTTGTGAATAGCGTTGAACTAATGTAATTCAAATATCCATGTCGCCTGGATTTTTCAGAGCGAAATAGCGATGGCTCGAATCTACCGCCATAGTTATCACTTCACCTAAATTTACAGTTGCCATTTACATGAGATTAAATGTGATTATTTTATTTCCGGGTTATGCTTAGTATCAGACAAATGGTTATTATTTACCTGGTATAACTGGCTAGCATGTATCTGCGATTAAGAATTTTCTATTATCTCGGGTTAACAGTTTTTCTTTGGGTAAAAAATGTTTTTTCTCAGATTAAGTGTTTTCCTTTATTTCGGATAAATAGATTGCCAACTACCAGGGATAATTAGTCATTATTTATCACGGATTAAGCGTTATCTTTTGTATGGGATAAATAGTTTATCTGTGATTAAAGATTGTCAAAAAATATCATACAGCTATTTCCAAATGGCCTGATTAATATCTGGGTTAATAGTTATGATTTACCTATTATTAAGAGTTTTGTACCCCTGAACGTTCAAGATTCTTTCCTTTACAGAGGAGGCGTAATCACAAAATAACATCTGTTACATTACAATCTCAGCACTAATCTGACACAGATTTGAGAACTCAAGACCGAATCATACAGCTGTTTCCAAATGGCCTGATTCTGTTATTATGATAATGAATAGACCAACCCATTCAGTGGAAGAATGATCAAGACACTTTTTGACGTTAGTGGTATAAAATCTGTTCACCTTTAATAAAATACCAGTTATCAGGAGGGATAATCCTGCAAGATGTGACAGAAGTATAGGGTTTATGTCTATTTAAGGTGTAACCATTACGTTTCCAAATGCATTTGTGGGAGCTCTTCACGTGTTCTATTCTAATTTTTGTCGTTCTTTTACGACTGTCAGCAAAAATCATCTCTCCGTGAAGAAAAGATCGAAATAGGCAACCATTAATATCATTTGATTATTCTTCATAAAAATGCCATTTTATTAACGCCTCGTCGAATTTGCTTTGACAATAGAGTGGCATACTGACCGAGAACTTTGCCAGACAAGGAGGTCATATTCACTTTAAGTGATATTCTTAACAGTATCGACCTTTCTTTCGATTGAAAGGGAGAACGTAACATTCAGTTGTTCTGTAATCGCTTTGTTGAGTTGTGAGGTTTACCGTTAACGTGGGTTCGAATCCTATATGTACCCCATTATGGACTGTGGTCTGTTAGCACCATGTCCTTTCAACCAATGTATGACACTTCAAACCCATACATCATTTTGAGCTATCCACATTAAGCTCATATGTACATACCTTTATTGGTTAATGAAATGACTCAGATTAATTGACCAAACTCATTAATGTTTTAAGTAGTCATGTCCACCCCGAATCAAAAGAAGAACTGTGAAATCATCAACCAGAGAAGACAGTTTGAAGATGACTCAATCCAGCCTGACAGCAAGAAGATTAGCTGAACCAAACACACTGACTTAGCATCAGCACTGTTTCTCTGGTTTTCTGATGGTGGATCCAGTATGTTCCAAGCACCGAAGACATTCTTCGTAAGCGCCCCACCTGGTTATAATGCCACCCTGGATATAATGCCATATTTTCTACTGGACAAACGGTGTCATTATGACCAGAGTATACTGTACTGACCATACACCCGTAACAAAGCTACATATTTTTTTAGAATATTGTAACGGTATATGCCGAGGAACGGATATGATGGGCTGTAAGAATCGGTTTTAACAAAATAAGTAACCATGGATACACGTCTTGTAATGCAATCAATTTTAATTGAATCAATATGTGTGATAATATAGAGTAACAAACAGTGAAATACCCGAGACGAAGAACAATAAGCGCTGAGAACTATAAATGTAACCAATAACGGTCAGTATCTTGAAACGAGGGATCACATACAGTGATTACATTCATCCATAGATTCACTTTCAACACACAAATTTAACGTTTATGAGACATGTGGCACAACTATCAGTATTCACTAGAGTGATATGTGTACAAACGTTAAACAGTTATATAATTCTTGTGATATAATTATCAAAAATCATTAGTTATCATAATATATATTTATCACTAAAATGTGAACATTTATCTCCATCTGACCATGTGACGAAAGCATTGATCTTGTGATAAATATCAAAAGTCATCTGAGAGCGTGGGAGTGTATTTCTCATAATACAGGTATGTATTCAGAAAACAATATTTAGGCTTATGGTTCAGATAACTGGTTCTGCAAATGAAGATATATACTATCAGAACGTCGATCCCTCAACAGTTAACATTACTACGTCCAGCCATTCAGCTACCACGTATTCTCACATAATAATGTTGTCACACATAATAATGTTGTCACACATACTGTGTAAACAGTTCAAACATTACTCCGCTCAGACAGTCAACTACCAACAATCAACTAATGTTGTCTCATAAAATAATGTTTCTCACAAAATGTCTCATAAAATAATGTTGTCTAATAAAATAATGTTTTCTAAAATAATGTTGTCACACATCTGTGTCACAGTTCAAATAATGTCTCATAGTCAAACTAATAATGTTGTCTCTCATAAAATAATGTTGTCTCACATAATAATATTGTCTCAAAATAATGTTGTGCAAACAGTTCAAACATTACTCCGCTGTAAACAACGTTCAAACATTACTACTCCGCTCAGACAGTCAACTACTAACGATTCTCTCAAAATAATGTTGTCTCACAAAATAATGTTGTCTCACAAAATAATGTTGTCTCACAGAATAATGTTGTCTCACATAATAATATTGTCTCACATAATAATATTGTCACACATACTGTGCAAACAGTTCAAACATTACTCCGCTCAGACAGTCAACTACCAACGATTCTCTCAAAATAATGTTGTCTCACAGAATAATGTTGTCTCACATAATAATATTGTCTCACATAATAATATTGTCACACATACTGTGCAAACAGTTCAAACATTACTCCGCTCAGACAGTCAACTACCGACTACCCACAGAATAAGGTTGTCACACATCAAGTGTACATAAAAGTTACACTTTAACATGCACTGAAAATAAATATCAGCGTGTGGTCGTGATTCATAGCACTTTCATACGAATAATTAATTTCATAATTCAAGGAGTACATTGTTTTACATTATGGCTTGTTTTTCTCCATCCATGTATGTCATTATCAATGTAAAATGTGGATTTCTGTGTTTTTTCTTTTCTATATGAAAAATGAACGTACATAACATAATGTCGAGAGACTATTAAGAGGACACTATACAATGCATGGACATGTTTGTCGCAACGGGAACGGACTGTCAGGCTCACTGACTGGTTGGTGCATGGCATCGTTTCCTAGTTGTGTAGATTATGAAGATGATATCAATCACTGGATTGTCTAGTCCAGACAAGTCAGCATGTTGCTGCTATATTACCGAACGTGGTTTTCAACAACAAACAAACGTGCGAACACCACGTCGTGCAAATCTCAGATTCCACTTACAAACCATATTATACAAGTTCATGGAGGTTCAATATAATCAGTCTGTGGCATATAGTCACCATTACAGTTCTTTGGTCATGTGAAATCGTTTAAATCGCCTCGGTGGTTTTTATTTGGCCACAATAAATGACGTTATGACAGTACAGTCATTGATTAACGCCAGTCACGACACGTCCACTGTTGCACATTCGTCATCACTGTCGTCAGCGACGTCATCGTCGTCACCACAGTCACGTGGTATCATGTCCTCTGCCAGAGCCTCGTTCTCAGATTCTTCGATTGCCTCGGACTGGTCAAGGGTATGAGGGGGTGACGAGGAGCCTTCCTCAGACTTGACACGCTTGTATTTGGTTCGCCTGTTCTGGAACCATACCTTCACCTTCAAATGAATAAAAAGACCATTAATTTGCATTCTTCTATACAAAATAAAACGCCAGAGAGCTCCAGTCTCGAGAGCCGAAAACGAATCTCATTGGGCAAAGGTGATGGAAGTTTTATGAATGGGTCACAGGAAGTCAGTAAAGATAAGCATGACCTGCAAATACTCAATCAATAACACAGTTTTCACACAAGTTCATAAAATACAGGTGGGCTTTTTTTGGTCTAACGCCGCACCACGCAATATCCATGCCGAAACGGCGCAATTGTCTTGATTAAAATGCAAGAATTAACAAATTATCGCTATTTCACTTTGTTTAGTCACGCATTTTACTCAAGTAACCGTCAGATGAGAGGTTTTTCACTGCGCTGGCTTACGAAAACCGAAACACAACCACTACCATAAACTCCAACCCCTACCCCAATCCAAATCTATACCAGAACTCTCGCAAAAATACAAATCACCAAATTTTTAGACGGATATATGAATAGTTGCTACTTCGATCCGCCAGGATGTACATCCGAATTAGCTCGGCTCCACTGAGGATCTCGTGTCCAAGCTTCTGAATTCCTCGGCTAGTATCTCTATCCGATAGTTCCAATAGAGGCCCAACCTTATACCGTTATAAAGTTTTTCAAAGTTATGTATGCGGTTAAGCACAAATAATTCCATAAAGGAGTATACGGAAACCTCCAGTATCACATCTTCAGGGGGCTAAAATGGGGACGTGTAATAGCATATGGAGCTGTGTGAGAAGAGAGAATGGGTTAGTGGTGAACGATTTATTAAATATACGCATTGGGGTCTGAAAGAGAGGCTAGTCCCACCTATTGATGACAATCGACCACAGTCAGTTTTAGACTAACTGACTGACTGAGTTTAGTTTTACGCCGTTTTAGCAATATTTCAGCAATATCACGGCGGGGGACACCAGAAATGGGCTCATAACACATTGTGCCCATGTGGGGAATCGAACCCGGGTCTTCGGCGTGTCGAGCCAACGCTTTAACCATTAGGCTACCCCACCCCACCCCACACCCCCAGTTTTAGACTAACGATTAGTCTCTAAATACATATAATTTTTTTAGTAACAAACAAATCCATTTAAATTGAAAAGGAGTCCCAGGGAGAATAGCGATTCAGAGGGAACCCCAACCTGAGGGAATCTAGACTTGCTTCGTTTAGGGTCTTAGGAGCTAGACAATAGGGGAAATAATGTGGTTCAGGGACTGTGAGACAGACTAAGTCAGTTCTAGGGTTAGCCGGAGGTGGGGTTTGTTGAAGTACACCATGTGTGAATTATAACACCATGCTCGGGGGTCCACAACAATGGTAATCATATTTGGCACTAATCTACCTTCGCTGACAACAGTAATGCCTATCAGTAGCGCTACCCCGACTGAACATAAACAACATACAATGGAAACATCTTACAAACTTGATTATGCCCCAACAAAGCCTAATATAGCCCTCCCTCGTCTCCGTGCTTTGTCGTCGGGCAGTAATTTCGTTGTAGGTGTCGTTCCGTATAGAAGTTTCAGCTGACGTGTGTCAGTCATCCCTGACGCCGTTGGGGGGACATAGTCCGTCACGCACCCCCGGCTTTTCCAACCGTGACCGCACACAATATTATAGGTTTATCATTCAAATCAACCATTTTCTCTGCCCGACGGTAGCTGCACGTATAATGAGCTACTGTCGCCCAGACCGACAACCACACACACACTGTGAAGGTAATAAATGTACTGGAATTAGACACATTTGCTACAAATAGAGTCTATTTTCCTTATAATTAACCACTGAGTTAGAAAATATCATGAATAAAAAGACAAAGTTGATTTCTTTCCTAGGTTTGAGTTATTATTCAGCACGGAGACCTATGACCACAATCCTAATAATAGTGTCTTTATGAGAGACTTATCGGCTCATTCCACTGAAAAGCATAGAATTTCATATTCAATTTCATATTGGATTGAATGTAACAAAATGTATTTAATCATCAGTCAGTTTTTGTTGTTAAAAGTTAAATTTTAAAGAAAAAATATCGTTGTACTTGTTGCCATCCATTCGTGCTGGTTTGCATCACTGGCTCATGAGCTTAATGCCTTCTATTTGACACTTGAAAAGAGAAATGTTCATTAAGACGCTGCGGGAAGCTGGTGAATTATTGGATGTGTATAATGCATTATGTTACTGTTAAACGTAAGCATTGCGTTATATCATATTAGCCCTGCATATTTGCGCATTATTGTTGACTAGTGCCTCACTAACCCGAGGAGCGTTACTCGTCTAAACAATATTTGTTGATTTAGGAGTTTGCATGTTGTTATGTGTTGTCCGTGAATGTAATATATATCATGAGATTTATTACCCATCCCTTTCATTAAAACAAACAGGAAATCCCAAAAGATCATTCGGCTACACTACTTTCGCAAACATAGATCGCGGATCACAAAGAGCGTAATTAATTTCTTTTAGTATTTTATGAATGGAAGGAAAGGATATTTCTCAAATCTACAACATAAAGCTATTTCACCGGGGCCTACAATGCATATTTGTATTATTTTACAAGAAATCCAATACATAATCAATGACTTTAAAAATTAAATATTGATATAAACCAAAGAAGTGGGAGAATTGACCTTTTTATTTTTCTAAAATCGTTACTGTTCGTAAACATTCGATTCGTTCCACAATGCTTTCACTACAACTGGGTATTGCCTCCATGTTAACTGTTACTTAAAGAACACCATGTCAGGTATTGCACAGACTGTACTAAACATCCCATTATTAACCCATTGCCGTAGTTGTCCCCATTCTAGTCTATGCTGTGTGGTATTTAAAAAGACGACAGGGTAATTTATCATACCACGACACTCTGTCAATGAATATAAAACATAGTGTTTACATTGCGAGTCTGACACTAATCACGTGGTGTGACGACACGACTACTACAATATATGACAGATAAACAATTTTCGGGTCAAACAGCACAAAATGACACGCAGAAATTGGCTAATATAAATGCATATCTCCCTGCGTGTCAATAAAGGGGCTGAAGTGGAGCGCAGCGGGAGGGTGGGGTGGGGGTGGGGAAGTGGGTCAGGATGTGGCAGGGTACCTGCTCTATGTAGCTACTGATGGGGCGATCGGGCGTGTAGATATATAGGATGTACATTGTGAGCCGACTTTGTTGATACAAGGATGGTTGGGTGGGAGATGGGCTGATATAACAGGCACAACGCGCCTCTCGTATACCCACGAAGCCGTGTTAATACAGCACATCTCTCTTTGTTGTATATTACAGGAACCTATTAAAGCCATATGATGTATTACTTGCCCCCCTCCTAGGGTGGAACATAGAGGAATTAGTGGTGATAGCAGTATGATTATAGCATAGATAAATAGCCTGGCTTGCCTGCTTAGTCTGCCAGCCATACACCAAGGCATTACAAGATTTGATTGGCCCCTGCATGGGGCTTGGCATGAATACAGACAGGGTGTCATAGGCCATATACACCCTGCCTTTATATGGCCTGGGTCCATCACTATATACCACGTTTCCTGTCGCTTGCTATTGTCATCCCAGCCTAACCGACCGGCGAGGAAAATGACTCTGACAGATTCTTTCATGGGATTTGTATATAGTGCTGAGCGATTCATAATTATACCCCTCCTATTAATGCTGTTCGGCATTAAGGAGAAGTGGTAAGTTGTGAAATATTTTCCAATTTCGACAGCAAAATAGTCTACTGATAAAGGAATTTAGACATGGCACGACTGAAATTTCAATTACAGAGCTGAAAGGGATAAATTAAGCATGAATACTGAATATTTCATTTCACAAAATTATTAATGCAATATTTCCTCAACAGACAGCAGTGAGCTAGGGCACACCGTCTGGTCGGCTAAGACGGGCGCCAGGGTGCACGTAGCTGATATTTAGGGGTGGGGCAAGGCAATTGCACTGTTAAACATAGACTTTACGCTGAGCTACCTCCATATTGCAGCATCATAAAGGATATTACTCTAGGTCTTGTAGCATAATACACTCCGTCTTGTACAGTAATGCCCTAGGCCCTGTAAGTTAATGTATCCATTGAGTACAGCACTCTAATGACTATATAGTGAGCTCTCTTAAATGATTGGGCACCTGCTAAACTGCACTATGGTTATATGTCAGCCACTTAGTGAAACTTCTCAAGAGATTGGGCACCTGCTAAACTGCACTATGGTTATATGTCAGCCACTCAGTGAAACCTCTCAAGAGATTGGGCACCTGCTAAACTGCACTATGGTTATATGTCAGCCACTTAGTGAAACTTCTCAAGAGATTGGGCACCTGCTAAACTGCACTATGGCTATATGTCAGCCACTTAGTGAAACCTCTCAAGAGATTGGGCACCTGCTAAACTGTACTATGGTTATATGTCAGCCACTTAGTGAAACCTCTCAAGAGATTGGGCACCTGCTAAACTGCACTATGGTTATATGTCAGCCACTTAATGAAACTTCTCAAGAGATTGGGCACCTGCTAAACTGTACTATGGTTATATGTCAGCCACTTAGTGAAACCTCTCAAGAGATTGGGCACCTGCTAAACTGTACTATGGTTATATGTCAGCCACTTAGTGAAACTTCTCAAGAGATTGGGCACCTACTAAATTGCACTATGGCTATACGATCAGCCATTTAGTGAAACCTGTTAAAAGATCGGGCACCTGCTAAACTGCACTATGGCTATAGATCAGCCATTTAGAGAAACCTGTTAAAAGATCGGGCAACAGATAAAACAAACTATATGGCTATAGATCAGCCATTTAATGAGCCATGTCTACGGATCGGACACCATGCATGTTGAATAATGGCTATATGATCAGTTCAGTCCACCTAGATGCAATCGATCACTGTATCAAGTTAAATGATAGACTACTACTGTACTGCACTTTCACTTTGGGTCTGTCACCTATTTTAAACCCAAAACGTAAATATCGGACTCTTTCCATATTGCCGTATGATAATTTGATAGGTCAAGGCTATCGCTTCAAGTGTTCAAGTCACCCTTTGCTTACCATTAACAGTTCAAGACAATTTCAGGGGTGGTGGGGTAGCCTAATGGTTAAAGCGTTGGCTCGTCACGCCAGAGACCCGGGTTCGAATCCCCACATGGGCACAATGTGTGAAGCCCATTTCTGGTGTCCCCCGCCGTGATGTTGCTGGAATATTGCTAAAAGCGGCGTAAAACCAAACTCAGTCAGTCAGTCAGTCAAGACAATTTCAGACAGACAATTTACACAAAGTACTACAAAAACAACGAATTGTTGGCTGAACATAGTATATCTCAAAGGTCTTTAAAAGTATATTTGTAAAAATCCGACTAAAGTATACAAAAATGGCACGTGTTGAGGGCCCATCTCAAGGGTATGAAGCGTTGTCCTAGATTGCATTTAAATTCTATTTATTTTTTCACATATATATGTTGTATTTCGGAGAGGAAATATTAGTCTAGGGTGAACAGTGAGACATTGAAACGGAGGAAGAGACATACTAAAAGAATCGATTCCACTAAAAGACACAAACCAAAATGCGAGGTTGACAATGAAAAGGGTGGTACAACATGCACTCTATTATCACGCAGTTAGCCGTTGAAAGTAAGGCGCATTGACATCTTCAGGAACTGCGTCCTTTGACAAAGCTTGTTGAGATGATAAAAGAGCATTATCTCCCTTCATTGTCGTCCTTCCATCCGGGCACTGTGGAAGGTGTGTCGGATAATGGCGGTCACTTTCAACAACATGTTTGCCAATTAAGTTAATGCTCCTCAAAGACGTAGTTTGACCAATGTGTGAGGGTACAATGAGGTGTCAAACAGGTGAAGGGATCAGTGTTCCGCCAGGGTGGGGGTAGGGCAGCTTTGGAAGTGGGAGGGGAACGAACGTGAACATAGACATACGCCGGCGATCAAGCTGCGCATTCTCGAGAAGCGTCAAAGACGGTGTGAAACATATCGGCGTGGATGTTCAGGCGACGGGCTATCGGTTACTCAGGCTTTTATGTTCGTCAACTACAGAAAAGGAACAATCCAGGGCTATTCAGCAACGTGTTGACAAATACGCGGAACAAATAGGTTTGAAAGGGTGTCTTGTATCGGCGGGGGCCAGAGCGAGGCCGGATCTCGCAACACTTTCCCCGAGAAGAGCAAACATCGGGACAAGCGAGCTGATCGCCGATACGGACAAATTAGACTCAGATAAAACCTGCATTGAAGTTGAACACGGTAATTGTAAGGCCAACACCTGATATGGTCTGAAGTGTCTTTACCCTAGCACGTCTGAAGAGGTCCCAAACGTGTCCCCCAAACCCAGGAAGGACTTTAATCCTGCTTTCCTCATTACCAACAAATTATCATGTTTAATGCGGTCCTAATTGCGAGCACGCGCGGGCTATCAACGATGAAGAGCTACACAAAACTCAGTTTTGAAATTAAATGGTGTCGATTGTTAGATATCAGGTCGCCTATCCCTCCACCGAAGGCGTGTTGAAGCCCGAATGAGAAACGTGCTAAACTGCTAGGCGATGTGAAAAGGGTGGATCTACAGGGGCAGGCCAGATGACACGATGGGGTTTGACGATGATGTATGGTGTACGGCATCACGGGGGAGAGGGACGAGAGACGTATCGGGTAGCTAGTCCCATCCATGTGTGTTGACTTGTTTAATAAATGTATAAAGCGGCCAATGAACAGTGATAATGGAGGATGACCCGTGGTCAGTGGTCAAAGACCAGGAAATGACAGCATTTACCACTTGGGATCAGTTTCCAACGAGAGATCGTTTCTTGTATTAAACTCCCACCACGTGGTTTATACCGACATATGTCAGAAGCACCGGTAGTTACCTGTGTTTATCGCGAGTTTATCTCCCCCGCCCGACTATCCTCCCACTGTGTAAAGTGCCCTGTATATATAGTCCAATATCACCTGTAATTACACCGCTCAGTTAGAAGATGTAATGCACACTATTGCCCTTAATGTCTTGGTCTATGTGTACTCAATGCCTTTCACACGTGTTTCATCTTAAAAATAAAAAAATAAAACACGCAAAAATAACCCCATACGCAGTCTGTTTGAATAGTATGAAAATATGTAAAATTTCTTACGAAAACATGTTTCAAATACTGTTTACGAAAAAAGTCGCCCTGATATTGCCGGAATATTGCTAAAAGCGGTGTAAAACTCGACGCAGCCACTCACGGACAAACAAAAAACGATTTTTGCAGGATTTCGGCTTACTGCAGGTAATTGCACAGATAGATATATACAAAAATATGAACACTCTATACCCAATCATTTGACACCAGTTCAAGATAAATTTGGTAGAATACACGGATTCATTGTTTAGAAATGTCCCTGTTTAACGTGAATGACAAAAGCCTTATCGCTGTATCAGCACTATTTCAAACAGCGACTCAAAGGTAATATAGTATGCGTCAGAGACGACCCTTGACTTGACCGTACAACGTATGTGAACGCTAAACATGCGTTATTAGCCCCTCTGATACAAAGTCATGTACCCCATTTTCCCCCCTGAGTAGTGCTAATCGCGCACGTGTTAATACCAGAGTACTAAACAGCCCTCATGGCCATGTATGTCTTGAATTGCTTGTATCATTTGTGCTGGGCATGATCACGACATACTGGTGAAGGCCGATATAGATAAACATCTACCACAATTGGGCCAATTACCATTTGTTAATGTTATCTGATAGCATGTAAATTATGTAGACACCACAAAAGTTGTGCCCCTATTGTAGGTAGGCGTGCCGCTGCATCCCAATAACTTAACCTTGACCCAAGGGCCAATAACTCTGTGGTAAATCGTGCAGGTTAATCAAGCGGCCACTGTAAACACGACGTGTTCGATTCTTGTCAAGCCCCGCGACAATTATTCTGATTTTCATTAGCCCAACATTATGTTGAAGATTCCGTCTAACTAGCTCCTTAGTTCAATGTGACGCGAATCACTGACATAATAATTTGACAAATCTTTGAAGGGGTTTTCAACAAGGAGGTACGACGTTAACTTGGCGGAAGGATACAAGAGACGGGGCCTCATCACTCCGCGGTGAGCCGACCGCTTCAAACATCTTACAACGGACAAATATGATTGAACAAATAGCAGGAGAATACTTGGAAAATATTTTTCCATTTCACGTGATATCGACCCATCATCTGCCGTCAAAATACGTTCCCCGGAGTAAAGAATACGGCGTGGTTGAATTTCGCCTCATCGAGTCAATTACAGACCTCCCGATGTTGATTTGAGTCTCAAGACTTGGGTCTTAAGCAGAGTAACATCCACTTAGATGGGCCGCCTTTGTACCAGGCTTTATTGTCTAAATGCGTTTGAGCACGTAAAGCAAACTTCTAATTACAGTTTGGTGGTGTAAATGAGATAATCTGCCCCAATCCCAACACGGCGAAATAATTTAAGCCTAATTCGACAGAAATACCAGACCTAATTTCCTTCTTTCTGAAATCTGAAAAATTCGGACGTGCGTTATATCTGCAATGGGTACTCATGGGAATCAATGGCACAACTTTATAGCGGAATTTTCATTAACCCATGGATGGGGGGCCGTCGTATTCAACTGCAGAACTCTCCAATGTCGGAGGTTCAATAAGTTGTCACAGATGACGGGCAATATCACGCGCTCTTCTAGAGAGCGTGAGTTTGATTTCCGATCGCCGTGTTGTGATAAAAAGCGTCTGCTCGCTTTACAGTTTGCCTTGCGGGGGTAACACTGAACCCACGACCCAATCAGGAAAAGAGGACCAAAAACAAATATTTTGAGGGCTATGTCGGAAAGACTGTTTAATTCTATCACTAATCTGTCGTCATAAGCATGTATCCAGCAGCGAGTAGCACCACATTATATCTCATATGCGAGAATTACCAGAGAAGCGATCCTCCATTGATCTTACGCTAACAGGCTTTCTCTTTGAGCTAATAACGCCAGACTTTCACGAACGGTTAAATAAACTTCGAAATCATTTAAAACTTTCTTGCTCATCGATTCCATAAATGTGTTTTCATGAGTAGCAATATTCCATGCTATTATGATTCATAATGTCCCCACCCTCGGTGTTATGGTTCTGTAGTTATGTCTTGGATGTAACTTTGAAGGTAGGCACCACTACGATAAACTTTACCCAATGCATTTACTCCATATTGATCTTTCATGGTGTACTTAATTGTTTTATTTATCTAAAATAACTTTAATATTTGCTCTTAAACACTGTGTTGTCGCAGTCACCTTTAAACTTAAACATAATTATTATTAGAGTTTATCGTGAAACTGTATGCAACTAAAAAAATTTAACTATATAATCGAAATTCATTATTAGTTTGGAATATTGTCGACTGAGGCGTTTCAGATTTCACACACTCACCATCAAACCCACCCATCCCATCCACCCGTACACGCAACCACCCCCACCCCCACCCCACATCACTCACTCATTCACTCATTCACCCAAGTCTCACTCACCCACACCCAATCCCTCACCCTCTCTCTCTCTCTCTCTCTCTCTCTCTCTCTCTCTCTCTCTCTCTCTCTCTCTCTCTCTCTCTCTCTCTCTCTCTCTCTCTCTCTCTCTCTCTCTCTCTCTCCACTCACTCACTCACTCACCCACTCACTCACTCACTCACCCACTATGTACATATCCGTTATGCAGGTCCTACCTGTGTTTCTGTGAGACTGAGTTTGGCTGCCAGCTCCTTCCTCTCCTGACCAACAACGTAGTGGTTCTTCTCGAACGCCTGTTCCAGCTTCAGCAGCTGACTCGGGAGAAGGCAGTTCGGATCCGCTTCGGCTTCCGGTAGGGGTGGAATAACAGGTTAGACTCAGGCGCCCCTGGAACAACAGAGCTCTGTTAGAAATGGCATTGGTGCTATGGTTTCGCTTCTGTTTTATTGCACTAGTAACGGTGTTAGCAATAGCGCAGCATGTAAAGGCGATCTTCATTATTCAACGTCAATGCTGGAATGTAGCCAGTCTAGATTTTCCAACGAATTTGGTTTCATTCGGCGTAAAAGGCAGATAATCGGTGACAGTTTACGTAAATGGAAGGTATATACTGTCACTGACGGGGTCTTAGTACTAAAGACTAAGTACTAATAGTACTAAGACCCCGTCAGTGACAGTATATACTATATATATAGTACTAAGACCCCGTCAGTGACAGTATATACCTTGATGGCAGTTTTTAGCGTTACAAGCCCCTGTGAATGGAACACAAGTAATCTAGTCCAAACTTGGCAAATCAGTGGTTGATAGTATGACGAACCAGGTCACAAATTCCAGCATTAATGACACAACGACCCCAATCCTTTTAGGCTTGCGTCTGGGTTGAATACCAAGGCCATTTCTGACTCGTATGATATTTTTTGGGGTTTTGTTACTGTTTTGTTTTACTTCAGGTTATGGACACATCTGGATGTCGTTGCACAAACAGAACAACCACACCTCAATATATACTCTTCAAGAAAAAAGTAGGGGAACCTGAACTTTCAATATGTATAGGAAGCAAGTTAACAAATTTTTCAAAGACAGACATCTTATGAACACACCACCATTTCTCCGAAGTTATCACCACCCCTAAACACAACGCATGGGATGCACGTGCACAAAGCAGTAGCTCCATACACGTGCATGGTGTGTCCTTCTTGATTTTGACGGTTTTCAAGAAGGTCGATAAATCACTGTAGGGAAAGAGTTCCTTCCGTTCCCCCAACCCTAAACCTAACTCTAAACCTAGCCCTAACTTAAATTTTGGCTTTTAGTCATGTTGTGAGTTCTCTAGTAATTGTTGTGTTTAGTTTTGTTAATAATTTTAGTATATTTATAAATATTATTTGGGATGGGGGAACGGGAGGAACTCTTACCCACTGTAGACCATTAATTTTGACAATCATCTTGCATCACACAGATGTCATGATTGTTTATTTCTAGCCGGGTCGTTTGAATATAGAAGTTGAATGTCATATAGAAGTCGTACACTGAATATAGAAGTCGTACACTGAATATAGAATTACACTGAATATGGAAGTTATTATTACACTGAATATAGAAGTCGTACACATGCAAATTTCACGTCATACACCAACCATCTTTCAAGAGCGATTACTGTACAAACAGCTATTGTCATAAGGAAGGGCAAGTAGTGATGCACTCTCAAAACATTCATTATTATCATATCAACATTGATTGACTCCAATATATCTCCCATTTTTTTCAATCGTAAATAAAAAATGTAGTTCCCCTACTTTTTTAAGAGTATACGGCCGCCGTAGAGCTAAGGCTGCTCTGTACAGCACTACACTAAGCGATACATGTTGATAATTAAACAAGAACGATAAGTCCTGTCCATGAAGTCGTGTGGTGTTGGTCGCGCACAAACAAGACACTTATAGCCTCTTCAAAACAGCTCCCCATCATATCACTGTGCGGGTCACAATAACGATTAAGGACTAAAACAATCTTATTGTCTCTTTAAAAATGAGTGTGGCCTGAAAATATACGGTAGGCTCCAGATGTGACAAGTCTGAATGAAACTGGGCGTGTTTGGCAACCGGGTGAGCCCCGACCGGGGTCACCTCAGGACAATCTCTCGGGTATATATCTCACCACTTTACTAGCCTTTACCAAAGCTCCATTAAGTTTTATAGTTACTGGTTTAAAACGATATAACATAAAAATTGATAGTCAAGATTTTGATAGGAATAAAACGTCTAAATACAAGCTCGGAAATGAAACCCGATCCCCCTTTGGACTATCGGGGCCTCACATCTAAGCCTTGGGTCGACAACATCAAACTTCAGTTGAAGATAACTATGATATTTCTCTGAACGTGAGACACCCCACAAATCTCGGGTGGCGGATTAGCCTATCATTACAACGTAGTTTAAACTACTTTGCCCCCTATCTGTAGATTTTATGTCTGGTATAAATATCATGTTGTACCCAGGGTAGGAATGTCTGTCACGTGATGCTAGGGTTGTGTCTCTACCAGAATATCGCATCTCGGGTAATGACATTGCTATATATTTATAGTAAGGAATTGCTACATTTCACCAAAACGTTACAGCCATATAAGCACGAGTTAAACGTATATAATTTGGGGTTTTTTCCTGATTTTATCTTCATATGATCATTATCACCTTAAATTTGGTGTTGCTTTGTTAAATGAAGATACCAGAGAGATGTTTGTGTATTTTACATATGCACATCATTATTGGGTATGGATTTTTTTAACATTATAACTTTTTAGAAAAGTTATCATTAGTGTTTATTTTTTGGATTTGGGGGTTGTTGTTTTTGGTGTGTGTTTTGTTGTTGTTGTTTTGTTTTTGTTTTTTGTTTGTTTGTTTGTTTGTTGTTGTTTTGGGGGTGTTTTGTTTTGTTTGTTTGTTTTGTTGGGGGTGGGGGTTGGGGTTTTGGGGGTGTGTTGTTTTTGGGTGTGGTTGTTTTGGGGTTTTATTGGGGGGGTGTATTATTTTGTCTTGTTTTTTTCCTTCTATTTTTGTGGGGGTGGAGTTGGGGTTGGGGTGGATGTTGTTTGGGATTATTTTGTGTTTTTTGCTTTGTTTTGAGTTTGGGATGGGGATGGTGATTTTCCGAATTTTGGGAAGTTCTTTGCCTTTGCCTATTTTGTGTTTTGTTTGTTGCTCTTCTCTTTTGTCGTTGATCGTGGGTTTTTAAAAGGTTTCCTGTCACAGTTTACGTGCATGCTTGTGCATGTGTATACCTAGATATTGATTAAGCGTTGAAGTTTAACTGAATGATTTTTTTCACAGAAGTTGCAGACATGTTTTCGTTGCCATGACAACAAGTTTTATGAATGAAAAATTCGCCCTGAAACAGAACAACTGAGCACAACAGGAGACCGGAGAAATATCTTTATAAATCCTGACAGATAGTCAGCCTGCTACGCTCGGTGACAGAGTGCTGTGGTTCATTGACAACGAACGATGTGGCAGTGGTGCGACTTAGCTTTGCCCCCATTCACCTAAAACAATTAATATCGCCAATGAGACTGGGCCAAACAAGATGGTCTATAAATCACCTCTTATTGGAATGAATTATATCGCACATAAACCTTCCACTCGCTAATTATATGTCGAATATTACGAAATTTAATGGGCGAATTATGCTGTAATTATCAGCTGGTGTCAGCTGTGTTGTGGTTTTGGAGCTGTGACATGCACTGTAAATGTGACGACTTAAGTGCGTCGGAGTGACAGAGATTATGCTTCGGCGAGAACGGTCCAGTTGAAGGGAAGAGAACGGGACGCCAAGAGACGCCAGAAGACGCCAGATGTCAATCGACAAGAGAGAGAAAACTATACTGATAGAGTCTGGAAAATGTATTTTGTTAACATGTACAAAAATAGCTTTATTTTTGGTTTAGTGCACCGTTACATTGCTTTCAGACAGACATACACAAACATGCACGCGTATGCACATGGATACGAATCTGAATAGTCAGGTGCACTTAATTGACACATACGTGTCATGCAGCCGGATGCAATACAGACGAAATATCTTTTTTTTTTCAAATTTCACTCATCAGATAAATGGAAATATGAAGAAGAGGGAGCTACTGCTTCCAAATTTGTAAATCAATTAATTCTATAATGACAACGTTTGTTGAATGTCTCATGAGCATAGGGGGAAACTTTCTGGGATTACATGCTCAGGAGGTTACGCAAACTAGAGCGGAAGATCCTGTTTTTCCTGGGTGTACTTCCGGTCAGACTAGTGTATGACATACAGAACTGATGACATTCTTCTTCCTGATCCAGGTTGAGAGCATTTCAGCCAAGAAGTCAAGGCATTGTGGATCTCTGAACAAGGTACGCCCCTTTGCTGTACCAGGATCCGCTAGTCGAATCCTAGAATAGCACCGATCATGATTATTTGATCCAGGTTCGTTGGTTTTCCGAAAACGTCCGCGATTTTAGACTCTTGCAGCTTAACACTATAACAATCTGACAGGGCTTGAAAATCGGCATTAAACAACATTCACTCACTCATCTCTGTCCCGGGGTCAATTCGATTCTGATATTTTGTAAACGAGGTTATTCTAAATAATGATACTCGTTAAGTGCTCGTCTCTAAGAGTATGTGATTGCACTTTTCTTTAAATATCTGAACTAAAATAAACCCATTTAGTCGGTTGTGAGGACCTCCCAGGATTCACCAATGTATTCCGGTTTTACCACCTACACAAACTAGTAACTGTGCAAAGTACTAAGGTTGTGCTAGGGCCAAGAGCGTCTCCCTGTCTCAGTCCCGTAACCGGTGTAGAAAGGACATCATTATAAACCTAAGTGTGTCTTACACAGGGGCAAAGCTCCTGATTCCCCTAAACACTTCGCTCCATAACAAAGCCGAGAATAACCTATCGGTGCTAACAGCGCTGCGAGGAGTTGGCAAGGGTGTGCTGAAGTAGTCGGCAAGTGCCCAGCCACAAAGACCCACCAATAGGAGAAAACATCACGAGTATTTGCGCTACTGCGGACCTCCCGCAATAAGTTTTTTCACTATTTACTCTATTTCATTTTTTTCACCAGTCGCTCATTAATTAAAGAAGCGCGTGTAGAGGCTAGTCAGCGTCGGAGACCAAGCGCGCACAGCTGCAATACTGCACGACTGCCCCGAGAACGGCTCCACGCATCGTTTATCAAGTTGTCTTCGGTCATCATCACCGTATCATTGTAGGAACGTATATAACCGTGTCGCTGCTGCGCTGTATGGAGCGCTGAACGCCGTACGTCCTAGATGAGAAGAGCTGTATCTGAGCATCGTCTCACCTGTACAAAAAGGGCTGACAAAGGTATACTACCAGCAGA